ATCAAGCCGAATCAAAATCAAATACAGCCCACTTCGCATACATTAGTGGCCATGCGATAAGTGGCGCTGCAGATATATCTGTGGCACCACATATCACACATTCAATTGTTCTCCACACTGAAAAGGAGCAGCCGGGGGATTGACTCAGGGGATATCCAGGGGTCAAAAAAACCCCACAGAAAATAAGGGTGGAGCAGTATACACAGGGGCCACTCAGAACTGGAGCCTGGCCAACCAGAGGCACATTCTGGCTGCCAGCCAGACTCTGCACAGCAGGATTGCCACTCATGCAGCCCCAAGAGGCCCCCAGGACCCCAGGTAAAGGTGCTGGGGACAGCCCAGTGCAAACCCCAGCTTCCCCTACCCCACCCAGGGTAACCTGCCAACTGCCAGAGGGCATGTGGCACAAGCGTTCACTGGTGACAACTAGCAACGGCACAAGGTGCGCCCCTGCTAGTTGTCCCCAGGGAACCAAACATGTATGCACATGTGGACGTGGCCAAAGAGGGCAGGTACTTTGACCCTACAGTGTTTAAAATAGAAATTTAATTCTGCTTTAATGATAAATCAATTTAGTCGTTATCACATACCAAGTGAAAAATATTGTTGTTTCAACATGTGTTTGTATATTATCATACCAGCAGCCACTTATAGTGACCCATTATCACTAATTATTTCTTTTGATTTTATATGACTCTAATATGATGTTAGAACAGGTAGCATCAGTAAGACTGAGTGAACTTCGAAGACCTTGGGCTATTCATGCTTGATTTATCTCCAGTCTACCACTGATTCAAGTTGATCTTCAAATTCTGAGGCTAAGAACATAGCAAAAATAGACTATTCACCAATTTCTACAATAACATTTCACTGCATGTGAATCAGCAACAATGCAAAGTGAAGCACAGAGGCCTGGCTACAGGATGGCTTTATGAACAATTAGGACAAAGGAAAAAGTAAGGCAAACATCATAGTGTCCTTTTCTCTTTTAATTTATACACCATTTCAAAATTCTGTAGCATGATTATATTACAATTACACCTTCTGGAAGAAGCAAAATTGTGAAAACCTCCATGTTCTCCATAGCTCCTACCTGTCAGTGTTTGAATTTAAGTCAGTTCCAGTGCCTCCCTTGAGCATTAGCAGAAGAACAACCTGTCTTATATATTTTTTCTGGATGTAAATGTCAGCTTTATCACCAAGCAGGACATATGGCAGCAAGTTCTGGAAATAGTGACCTATTCCATAATGAAGTCAAATCTGCTGCTGAAATTAGAACTCAGAGCACCACAAGGCAGGGGTCAGCACACACGGGGAAGTAAGTCAGTGCACCCACCAGTTGTTTACCTCTTTTGACAAAATTTGTTTCTTAAGCTTTCCTTTAAACTGCCAGTATAGAAATTGTTCCAAAATGCTTATAGTTTGGGATGTAGCTGAAGTGAAAACATTGATTCGAAGGGAACTTCCACAAGCCAAAATTTTTCCTCATTTTGATGTAATTGTGTATTTGGAGTCTGCCTTGAATTAAGGGGGCAAGGCATTAAGGGGACACCACACTAGGAAACACAAGTCAGATTCATAGTGTCCTCCTTAGTTTCCCCATTACTCCAGAAGGAAACAATTTGCAACTGCTCACTAGCCACAGCACATGAACCTGCTGCAAGGCACTAGCCAACACAGCTGACTTGACATAGGACAGTAGTGTAACTAGGGGTGGGCAAGAAGGGCAGAAGCCCTGGATACTTCCTATGTGTGGGCACCAGAATGTAGCCAGTGGGGGTGCCCTGCCCCTCCAAACTTTGAGCTTTCCGTGTGGCAGCTCCACGTCAGGTGTGCTGGGTGTGAGATGGGGGGGAGGGGTGCACAGCATCAGCAGCCACATTGGTGCTGGACAAAGGCTTGCTCTCAGGGCAAACCACTGCTGTGAAGGCGTTGCTAGTTGACCCTCTTGCCCTGCTTATTATTATTATTTGCCACAGCAATTCAGCTTTTAAATTGCTGCCCAACAGACCTTTCACATTAATGCTAGCAATAGCAGCATGCCCTGTTACAACACAGCCAGACACTGCCCTTACCCATGTGTCACCACTGCCCAGGGCACAGAACTACCCAGTTATGCCTCTGACCCAGGAGAAAGCATCAGTGAAGCCTTGCCTCCAGCCACCATCTGACTACCAGCTGAATGTTGCTCTAGCCACCAGTGCTGCAGAGCAGCACTTTAATCCTCTGAGCAGTTTTTAGTTTTAGCATTATGCTTTGTATTAGGTTTTCTTTTTATTGAAAAAAAATAAGAAAAAACATGCCGTGAAGTAAATTATCTAGCAGTGTATAAGGAGTTATTGGGAAAATAACTGTGGATAAAAGGATGAAAGCAATTAGGTTAATATATCTATCCTACATTGATCAATTATTCATTTGGTTTCACCTACAATAGTAACTTCCTGTGTCAAGAGCTAAAATTACAAATCTTGTGCTTCTTCAGTGCACAAAGTCTCTGTGTGTGTAGCACTGTCACATATGCAAGACAATACTTGCTAGCCAAGCACTGAAGATGCTTCTAACCTATTCCATCACAGAGACTTAGTCCTGTCCTGGAGCGTGCAGAGTATACCCTATGACACTGTTTCTCAACCCACGGGTTGTTAACCAAAAGAGGGTTGAAAGAATATATGAAAACATTGTGAACAGCTTTAAACAATGGATCAACACATTTTATAACTGGATTATCCTTTAAAAGAGAAAGATGAGGGAAACGACAGGTTTGCCCCCTGCAGGCTGGCAGAGCTCCATCCTGCAAGAGACTGCTTGGGGCTGGGGGGAGTGGGAGAAGGGCAATCAGACAGGGATGCCACATGCATGTGTGCACGCACACATGCATGTGGCACCCAGGCAGTGCAGAGAGCAGCTCCCACAGTTCCTTACAGGTAAGTCTATGGGGTGGAGGGGCAAGGGAGAGGGGAGCATAGATGATGAGTCAGGGGGCAGGGGAGCACAGGTGACACTGCCTACCTCCTCACCTTCTCTCCAGGGTAGAGCCATGCCCTGAGGGGAGCTGTGGCAGGGCCATGACAGCAGGGTAGAGCCATGGCACAGAGCATGAGCAGCTGGCAGCAAGAGAAGGTGAGGGCAGTGTGGCCCGCAGCATTACTCGTCATGCTGCTGCTGGTGAGGCTGGCGAGGGGGTTCTGGTAGCAGTGGCAGCAACGAGTCTTGCTGCTCCGCTTTGCCCTCCCATGCCGAGTCACACCCACTGGGCCACAGAGGTGGCTCCTGCCTGTGCCAGTACAGCCAGACTGTAGCCCCGTGCCCATTGTGGATGCAGAAATCTGAAGGGGCACCTTCTACCACACCCCACACACTCACCCCCTGCTATTCACACTGCTGGGCTGGGGACTGGGGGCAAGGGTCAGCAGGTCAGGAGTAAAGGGCAACAGCAGAGCTGGGAGTTGTGGGCTGTAGGTTGGGAGTGTGGGGTACCAGAAGGGTTAGGGGGAAGTTTTCTACTTAAACTATTTACTGGGTCAGGACTGGCCATTAATGTTTACAAATGAGTCCTGGTACAAAAAAAAATGGTTGAGAACCATAGCTCTATGAGATATTGAGCCATTTAAGTGCCCATTAATTACAAAGGCTAGCTTTGAAGGCTCAGATTTGCAAAATCAGGCCAAAGTTTTAGGGGACAATATACATATATAAATAAACACTTATACTCCATTGAGCATAAATCTGATTTTTGCTGTGCTTCTGCTTTTTCCATGCAGTGTTAAGTAAATTTCCAGATTGGGATTGTTCCCTCTTAGAAATGTGTGTATTATGTGTTGCCATAGCTGATCTGAATTTTTTTCATTAAAACTGCTTTGTACTTCATGGCATTTCTACTGCTATACCAACACAGGGATCTTCAGATTTTTCGATACTGGCCTCTACTTTTGTAGATGCAAAAAATAGACATTTATTTATTATTTTTAAAAATGGAGATCTAATTAACAACTGCCTGGAAAGCTAACGAACGTACTGAGTTGTATTTTTTATCTCCAGTACCATCACTGATTGCACTAAACAATAGAAATGAGCCTAGTTCTGGGAATAATGTTCATTTCTAATACGGCAAAAACTGAAGCTAAAATACCCATCCCTTTTTCCTACTAAGATTAGGTAGTGAGTTATAGATTAATAAAACTGGGAAGGATAGTAAAATAAATCTTTTTTTTTTAAATGGGGATGATATTCTTCCCTAAAACACTGAAGCTCAGCCCTGATCAGCTGCAACTCCCAGTGAAATTTATGCAAGTTACTGATTCCCACCACCAGCTGATTTTTCTATAGATTTAAGGCCAAATATTGAATAATGCTGAACACTTGCAACCTCAATGAAGCTATTAAGCATATGTTAGAATATGACCTTTAAATAGGGTGATCATATATCCTGGTTGGGCTGTGACAGTCCTGGATTTCATCAGCTATCACAGCGTCCTGGCCAGTGTGTGGAAATTGAAGCAAAAGTCCTGGATTGGTGCCATCCTGCCCTCACATGCCTGATCTGGTTCCTCCTGAGCAGTGGCTGGAGGTAGGATGGAAGCTAAGCTGAGCACTGCTTCTCCTGCCTGGGGCAGGGATTGGCCAGGGCAGGACAGGCCAGGGGAGGGGGCTGGAGTTGGGGCCCAGGCATGTGTGGGGGCTGGGATGATTGCCTGCCACTGGCAGCCTTGTGCCCTGCTGTTGTGGCCACTGCTGAGGCCCAGTCTGTGCGTGGTGGCCCCAGGCAGCTGCCAGGGGTGGGGGAGAGGTGACCTGTGGCTGCACAGTGCAGGTTGGTGGAGCCTGGGGGTGTCGCAAAGGGGCTGCTCCCAGCCAGGTCCAGCTTCTGCACATGTGGGGTGGAGCCTGGTTGCAGGCCTCCGTGCTGTCCCACCCAACCCCACTCTGGCATCAGAGCTCCTGGGAGCCACGGAGTCAGAGGTATGTGGCTGAGTGTAGCGCCCCGAATCCCAGATTTCCTTACCCCCTCCTTCAAAATCATCTGGTCACCCTACCTTTAAACAATCTGAAAGAGCAGAAAAAAAGGCATCAACAGGAATGTAGCTGCTGCAGCTTTTTCAGAAAGAATCATGACTTTCACACAATCCAAATGTATTTTTCAGTATTATGACAGTGTTCCTTCTTTTATGTTACCACTTCCTTTTTGTCCTAAATGCCATCAGAAACATCAGCACTAAGCCCAAAACTTTTTAAGGGCAATTTTTCTAAACAAGAAAACAAGTATAGTTTATCCCTCAGATTAACACTGACAAAACTAAGTACTGAAATAAAGTTTTTTAACTGAAGACCTCTGACCGACTCTTCAGATGCAATAAAAATTTGATATTTGCAGCCACTTAAAATACATAAATAATAAACTTGGCATGCAAGTTTATTGAAAGCAAAGTGGTTCAGTCAAAACTTTACTCCATGAAAATTAATAATCCCAAAAAGCCCTTATATCTTTTCCAACAAAATATCCATTTCAGAAGGTTATTTACTTTAGAAGCTACTCTGAAATATGATTGGTAGATACCCTCCAGGAATTTTCTAATGTGAATATTCTACAAGTGCCATTGGACTAAATTAAAATATATGATTTTTAAAAAAATAGCTACTAAAAATCTTTTGATATGGAGTAAAACATACTGTTTCTATAATGGACCTAACTATTAACCATCACTTTAATAATCTGTTTTTTGCCAACGTGAAACACAAATTACCAGGCTTCAGAGCAAAAGGAAACAGAAAGCTCCTAGACAACATTGGAGTATGGCTAGTATTTTAAGATGAAAACTATGTACCTCTGCCTTCACAGATATTTAGGACATGTAAGCAGCCATGTATTTATAATTACTTGCTGAGAAAAATTCAAAATTATTACTTCAGTTCTCTATGAAACTTATGATGGTTCCTCCTCCTTCCAGTATTTTCTGGGAGAGCTTAGTTCTTTTCTCATTTACAACACTTTTATATTTTATCTCCATTTGTATCCTTGGATTACTTTTGATTTACTATAGTGTGAATGAAAAGAGAATCAAACTCATATATTCTAAACGAACAATTAGTGTTCCACATAACCCAGTTATGCAGGTAACTGAATGGTATTTGATATTTTACACAAGTGAGAACCGTTATATGCAGAGCCAGCCTTAGGGGTGGGCTATGTGGGTGACTGCTGAGGGCACCTTAGTCAGAGGGGGAGGGGGGGAACACCAAACACAAATGTGTACACACACACACACACACACACACACACAGTCAGATGTGGCCAGTGCAAGTGGTAGCTGCCGGCACTGCCCACCCCCTGCATGCTCACCCTTGAGCATTCATTCCTCCCAGGACAGAATGGCCTTGTGCTGCAGTGGGCAGAGCCCACCCATGGCCAGCTATGGCAGGATGCCATGAGCACAGGGGCCACCTGCACATGTTGCCCTGCACTCTGGCACACACATTATGCATGTGTATCCATTGTGGCTAGGGACAGACATTACACAGAAACCAGCTTAAGTGATCAGAAACTGGTTTAAACCTGTAACAGAACAGACATTCAGTGCACATAAACCAGTTTGTAAATGGCCAAAATCAGTTTGACATAAACCTGGTTTAATGTAATATCAGACTTAACTGATTTGGCTCAAACCTGTTTATGCAATGTCTCCCAGACCCCTTGCTGGTTTAAGTTAAATCAGAGATCCCTAGCATCCCAGCATGCGCTCTCGGCTGGGCGGGGCTCTCTGCACCACAACAGGGCTGGTCCCTTCCCTCTGCTCTCTAGCCGGAGCAGGGGTGGGGTGTGGCTAGATGCTGGCCTGCCATGGCCCCTGAGGCAAATTCTTCCCTACATCAACTCTCCCCGCCAGTGGCAAACCCTGCAGACTGCATCTGGGGTTAGCCAGGACCAACCACACATCCACAGCTTTCCTGCAACCAGGCAGAGACTGAGTTAATTCCTCCCTCTGTCCAGTTTGCTTGCAGCCAGGCAGGGGATTAATTCCACAGCAGTCCTGGAGTCAGGGAGAAAGGCAAGACCTGCACCTGTGAGCCCAGAGCTAAGACCTGCAGGAGCAGACTGAGAGGTGGGAAGTGTTGGCAAAGACCTGACAATCATCGCACATATATGCTGGAGATGGAGTTACGGGAAGGTGCAGACAGCTTCTGGCTGGAAGCTGCAGACCAAAGAATGCAGAGAGCTACATTTACATTATAAAGCAGAACCTGTAAAACCTAAACAAAGCCTTTCTGAAAGCCTGGCTGTAAGGAGCACTCTGCCCTCAGGATTAGTAAGATTTATACAAGGCTTTCTCTTGTCCTGTGTGTCCTGCTAGCCCCAGCTAGTACCTGGCCATGTCCCCTGCCAGTGGCAACCTTGGAAGGCATCTCTCTTCCCTCCCCTTTAGCAGTGGCTGGCAGGCATGCTGTAGCGCCCCCTGGGCTTCTGGTTTGAGCCACTGCAGGCACATGACTGCATTCCCTGATTGAATGGAGAATGTCTGTCCAGTTATTAATCAGTTTAAGCTGTTCAGCTTAGACTAACCTGCAAGGAGTGAATCAGTTCAGGCTCAGGCTTTTTGAATGTCTGTCCCTAGCCTGTGTGTCTATGCATTGTATGCCCCTGCACATCCGCAGGCATACATCCACATACCTCTCTCTCACACAGAAATACACCCTCTGGTGCATGTACAAGCACACACAAGTGCACACATGTGCAAATACACTTCAAGCCTCCTCCTGTAGCCAGTCTACACCCCGCTACACAAGCATACACACAATGGTGTGTCCTGCACTTCTGCTTGCCTGCCTGCCTCTGCCTGCAGCAGCATCGCTGACTTAGTGGCAGTGTGGCACCAAAATACTAGTTTGCCTAAGGCACCATTTTCCCAAAGACCAGCTCTCCTTCTATATCAAAACCACGTTCATCCTCTAAGTCATGCTAGATGAGTTAGACAAAACTGAAAAGACCAAAAGTCAAAAATCCAGATATCATAACTGGCACAGACTATTTGAAATCATTGCCCATTGTGTCCCTAACTTGTGTTCCCATAAATAGGAAAACTCCATAAAAGACACACTTTCATACACGTGCTTAATTTCTGTTATATTTTTGTTCAACTTTTCATTAAGGACCAGTGACATTATATGAATTACAAGGTTGGTTTCTTAAGTAATGCTTAAAAATTAAAACTGATCTGTTAACAGAAAAAAACGTTATGAACATTTCTTTTAAATTTAGCTTCCAATTTTGCCAAAATTTTGTTTTCATTAAAATGTTACAACCAGCTCTAGTTAAAATAACTTCACTATATTTATGCCACCATTCGGAAGTAATACAACATTTATATCATTGCTACAAATATTATTCTACAAAAGATTGGCATATTCTGCTCATTTGCTTGAATTTATACTGCTCTTCATTTTCTTTGCTGGAGTTCTTGAAGTCTCAGCTAATTAACTTAGTCTGAAGCTATGATATTCTTACTGAAGCATATACTCCACTTGTGCTCTTGCAATTTCCTTGGCCTAAGCTGGCTGCAGTAATTTTATCCCTTTGTCTCTCTGGTACATTTCTCTCACTCATTCACAAGAATGTGGCCCATAGTCCAGACTCATAGGAGCAGCACCAATCCCACTGCCTCCCAAAAATCAGGCATACCCTTTTTCAGAACTGGAACCATGTCAATTCTGGGTTTTACAAGTTAATGTTTCAGAGACAGAAGTGTCACACAAAACAGATTTAACAGCATTCTAAAACAGGTTCTAAATAGATCTAGACAAAATCATAAAGTGTATACAAATTTCCCTCCCTCAGTTTCCTTACTACTCTGGAGCATTCTTTGCTCAAAGGACCTTTTCCCAAAGGATGGTCCAGAGCAGTAAGGAAACTCTAATGCCCTTTAGAGTATCCCAGCTCTCTCTCTTCAGGAACATGGTTGTCTTGAATCATGGAGCATCTCTCTCATTTCATTGTCAATTTGCTTTGACCAAGGCTGATCCTACTTCAAAAACATGCTCCTCCCTTCGAGCCCCAATACTTCCTGTGTGGCTCCGAGTGTCTCCAAATTTCATATCCCCCTAACATCTAGTTTCTTTGTTCTACTCCTGGTAATTTTCTATTTTCCATTCGTCAAACTGCTTTCCCAACTGAGGGAATACACCTTTTTCAGACAGAACAGAGTTACTCTTCCTTGAATCTTCATTGTTCTTCATCTGGCAGAGATGTGTGTACCTGTCTGGTTTCGAACATCCGGTCATGCACCACGCGGCCCCAGATGCTTGGGGTTCTCCGCCAGTCCATCCCTGTGGTCCTGCCAAGTAGGTGTCTCTTACCCGGATAGTCTCTCCCCCAATCTCGCCTGCCACGACTTTGTATCTTATCCCAGTGGTGGGGGTCCGACTACTGGGGTCTCTCACGTATGGGACCGCTGGATGACGATATTCTGCGAGGCTCCACCTCCCCTCTACCTTGCCCTTATACCCCACCTTGACGAGTCCTGCTGTCCTTTGGCCAAGGCCCCGACAGTTGAGGCTCCGGGCCCTTTCCAAAGCTATATGGCATCCGGGCCAAAAGGCAAACTTCACCCACCGTGCCTCACAGCCATCTAGCCCTTCTAGTAACTGTAAACCACCCTTTGGGTTTAAACAACACTTGGTCTCCTCACCCAGCAACCCCTCCAAATGTGGGGAACAAAAAAAAGAAAAATAGAAAAAAAAATACCAACAACAGAGAAATGTAATGATACCAAGGGAGGCCCTTTGCCCCCTTTACTGCATGCTCCCACAGCCTGCCCTACAACAACAGGCCCAAGCCCTTAAGGCCCCTAACAAGCTCTAAACTAGGTCCAGGTAGCCTGCTGGCTACGGCGTCCTCCTCTCCGCTCTTTACCCAGCCTGTGGGTTCACTGGACCCTCGGTGGTCCCTCTCAGCCCGTATTCCCCAGGTCTCCTGGCAGGGCGGCTCTATACCATTGGGGCCCGTCTTCCACTGCCCTTCCCGCTGCTCGTTCCCCTTGGCCCCCACCTGGCGAA